ATTGACAAAAGGGCCCTTATGGTGGATTTTAAAATTGATTGTTATAATTGAAAATATCAACCTGTGAGTGCTTTGTTAGACAATCATTGTTTCTAAAAGTTTCATGGTAACTTTTTGCATCCTGTGGAGTGATTTTATGATAAATGGGGCTCAGGAAGTTGGATTTCTTAGGCTAGAAAGACAAATTTCACTACCCGCCATAAGGTACCTTTTGTCAATTATGGTCACATATAATCAAACTGAATACCAATAGAACTAATCTCTTTTCCTGCTGCCCTCTCCTTCATCAGTTTAGCTATCAGCATATCTTTCTCTGATACTTGAGATTTAAGTTTCTCATTCTCTTCTACACAAAACATAACAAAAGGTATTATCATACAGTAAAATAATAGTTTTACCATTAGTTACAGTTTTCTCCTCTGTCAGTATGGCTATATAAGTTTCACTATCAACAACTTTAGCTTTAAGTTTCTCAATCTCTTCTACACAAAATAAATTTATAATAACATATTACCATATAAGGATATACCTTCACTGGTTGTTTGTTTAGTTTCTGTTGTCTGCTCCTTCTCCTTCTCCTCTCCTTTAACATCATCATTATCTTTATAAACTAGTAAACACACACACACATCAAACAAGTCTCTAACTATTACTGTGTGTGTATATATACTTACCATCAGTTGGTCCAGTAGACACTTCCTCTTTAGTTGAAGATAGTTTAGTTTCTTTCACTCCTTTTACTCTTGTCTTGTCTAGTGGTATAGGTTCGATAACTACTGACACACACACACACACACAGTAGAGGACTATACCTTGCTGACTAGCCTCAAGGAGTGCTTCCTGCAGTGAGGTCTTGTTTCCCTCAGAAACTCTTAACTCCTGCTGCAACGATTCCACATAATTTTGTAGTTTTACTTCTCTCTCTGTAGGGTATACTATAAACTGATCTTGCCACCATTGTCTCTTCTTTAATAATAACTGATACTTGTCTTGATAGGCCTCAGTAGTCAGACCAGTAGAATCTAGTACTTCACTTACTCTCCATTCACCTTCTCTTAAAACTAATACAAACATGAAGGAGGAATAATTCATGTATGTACATGTACATGTAAACATGATGTAATGCTGTTGCTAATAATAGAACACAATACATGTAGCATTAGAGGGTAAAATACTATATAAATGTTATGCATTAATTATTGTTTTATTCACAAATTACAAACCAGAAAATACATTTTAAGGGACAATTGCTAAAATAAAAATAAAGTGCCGGCCAAATGGCACCAATACACTGCACTATACACAGAACATGCTAATTTGGTTATGTCAACTATCATTGCAGTTCATTATAACAATAATAATTCCCTCATGTTATGTTATGGAATACCAGCAATGATGTATTCAAACTTAAACTTAAGTTGTATATCCAATAAATTCCTCTATACAGTACATACAATACAAAATAGTTCAGTTCTTACCTAGTTCTATTAACATTGTGATATTAGGATCAGTGATATAGTCAGAAAATGGTTGCTTGTATCCTCTTCCTACATCTTTCCATTCAGTTGCTCCTCTCCCACCCACTACCACCAACCACACACAGTCTGGACTCATCATTATTGATGATAAGGAATGAGCCTTTCTACCAGTAACAGATTCAGGTAGAACAATCTGTTGAAATAATACATGTATGGTAATATTTTATCATGTAAACAGTATTTACAATATGTTACAAATATTCAAGGGAATATACATGTACATGCATTAGGTACATGTACTGTACATGCACACAGTGAGTATTTCTAAGGTATTAATACAATACAATACGTTAACATGACAACTACTGTACAATCACTGTATCACACACATGTACACTCTAAACTAATAACATTATACACATACCTTACTCCACTGGTACTGACTAGTATTCAGTAACCAACTATCATTTACTAGTTGACCATCTTTACCCTCTCCACCTATCATTACTAGTGTAGGTGAGTCACTGATGATACTAGTAATAGCATGATAACGTCTCTCCACAGGGCACTGTACACTAGAAGGTACTACTGGTCCCTTAATACTCTCCCAGTGCT